GGATGTGAACGAGTGTATGTTTGCTGGTAAGATGTGCTTGACAGATTGTGGTGTGGAAAATTGTGCACTGATGGTTTTAATTATATTAATGAAGAATGTGGCAGTCGTCAGCTGTTAGAGTTGATGAAGGAGGGGGAGGAGGAGGACAAAGGAGGGAGGAAAATGTTTTGAGGAGCATGCGAGAATTAGAGGAATTGTCCTGTATTGCGTATTGCGTTATACATTGAGAAGTTAATACAATATTTTGAGTAAACTGAGCAAACTGCATATGTCAGACAGATACATAATTGATCCCAAAAGGTAAACTGCAGAAACACTTTGCCATGTTAATTGTGAATAGTTGTGAAACATATCTTTACAGAGTGGCTTGTTTTGAACAGGGAGACAGTTTAGCTGTGAACTTGTCCCTTATTTGATAGACAGCAGAGTGAGCTTCATCAAAGGAGTCCGAGAGCACTGACTGGACTCGACTCCTCCAGCTCAGCAGTTTGGGTCTGTCCTTCAGAATGTCCCTCCCACCACACAGGGACTGAAAGAGACGAGAAAGTATTTTAAAGCTCTTTAGCTCTGTAGCTTAGACATAGTGCTGGGCGGTATGACCAAAAATTAATATCACGGTATTTTTCAAAATTAGACCGGTTTCACGGTACATGACGGTATTTTTTTTTTCATGCATGACCAGGTGTTAACCATATTTTCTACTGATTGAGAAAGGAAATACTGCAGTATATTGACTAGAATGCTCTATTTTACTGTCATGATGAGCGAATATTGTCAAAAAATAGCACACTAAATAGTGACTAAACACGACCCCTTTTAATACATTTTATCCAGGAGTCACTCTCATTTATAATCGCGGCATCGTCTGATAAAATCAACATGCATCTACACTAAAGAGCGGCTATGCGGTTGTTTTGGCTATATTACTTTTTTGTCTCATGCAGCAGTGCCTGTGTCTGAGTAACAAACTAAAAAAAAAAAAAGTGCATGTGATATTAACAGACGAACTACGCTCATATTTATAATTCCAAACAATCAGTAAGCGACAGGTGCTAGGAAACGCTGTTTTGTACTCATTTATTGACTCAGTTCAGTGGGCGGGACCGCTGACCTGCGCATCCTGCCCGGAGCGCTGATTGACTCGCGGGATGGATGCTGTGTCTGAGTCGACTGTAGTGTATTGCAAGGGAAACTAAGACACATGAATATAACCTGTGTGTGGCCTTTTTTACAGCCGCCCCCATATTTTCGGAAGGAAATATGTACAATAACTAAAGGGCCTATAACCTATACCATTCAGAGTAGCTTTAAACTGGAATGGCAGGCAATCGGATGAGGCGTGCGACTGGGCGTGTGTACAACTTCTTTCCCACCTTAATTTCTGCTGCTCTTACTCTGCTGTCTATTCCAGGGAATACCTTCGACACCTGGCCCACAGGCCACAGTGCTCTGGGTAGCCGGCGGTCGACGATCAGGACAATGGTGCCAACCTGGAGGTCAGATTTCTCATCTTGCCACTTTTGGCGGGTCTGAAGGCTGGGAAGGTAGAACTTGAGGAAGCACTTCCAGAATTGGTCGGCAAGGACTTGACTATGGCGCCATCTGCGTCAACTGATCAGTTCAGATTCTGGGTATATCACAGGAGGAAGTGATGAATCTGGCCGCTCCATGAGAAGGGAAGTTGGTGTGATGGGGTCTAGATCAGAAATGTCAGATGAAATGTAGCCTAGTGGCTTGGAATTTAAGATCCCTTCGATCTCCACCAGCACAGTGTACAGTACTTCGAAGGTGACAGACTGGGCACCAAGTGTTGTTATCAAGGCCTGTTTAAGGGAGCGAATCTCTCTTTCCCAGCTGCCACCAAAGTGTGGAGAATTAGGGCGATTGAAGTGGAATTGTATTTGCTGGCTTGCCAGCTGCTGTTGCAGTTCTGGGACGACAGCTATGTATGCTTCTTTCAGTTCTCTCTCCCCTCCTTTGAAGTTGGTCCCTTGATCCGATAATAGCTCGAATGGCTTGCCGCGTCTAGCGATGACTCGTCAGCCAGTGTCTTTAGCCAACTGTTTCTGGGAAATGATTTACCCGCCTTTAACTGCTCCAGTTCAGAGGGGAAACACTCTTCCTGAGCTTGCTGTAGAACACTGATTTCAGCCGTCTTGTGGTCATCAGCTGTCGGAATGCCTGCCGCCCCATGACAGGCCCTGGACTCCTGTAGCTCTTTAAAAGTCTTATACTGGCTGATGTCAGGGTATGACAAGGTGGCTGTGAAGCAGGTAAGGAGGCAGGGAACTGTTTTACAAAGCTCGTCTTCATCTGCAGCCACAGGGTGTTGGATTTTTCCGGCCACAGATTTGGAGGATCTTTGAGAAAGGATGGCCCTTGGTACCAATGGCTATCTGGTCCCAGCCTACATAGGCTTTTCCCCCGTGTTATATCATCTGCTGGGTTATGAATTTATGGAACATAACGCCATGTGTGCTGGTCTGTAATGTCCTGGATCTCAGCGACTCTGGTTCCAACAAACACTTTAAATCGGCAAGAGTCTGAATGCAGCCAAGTGAGAACTGTGGTGGAGTCAGTCCACAGAGTGAGTTGGTGTATGGGAAGGTTCAGTTCTGTTCTGACTACTTTAGCAAGCTGTGCCCCAGTCAGTGCAGCACAGAGTTCCAGACGAGGGATCGATTGCTGTTTTTTGGGTGCCACTCGTGATCTGGCTGTGAGGAAGGCCACCTCTACCTCCCCACCTTGATCCTCTGTGCGGAGGTAAGCGACTGAGCCGGTGATGGGGAATGTACCAGGTGTTGGTTGGGCATTCTTCAGCACTTAGTTCCACCTTGACTGCATAACCTGCCCGCTCTAGTTTCTGAATCTCTGCAGTGTAGGCAGCTTGCTCTGGATCTTTGGCCAGCCTTCTCTCTATGGCTCGCAGATGAGGGAGAACAGCATGTTTGGGAGCCTTAAGGTCTGGCATGTTCTTACAAAAGTGGGGTTGCATAGCGCTTGACGCCATCCACCTCTACTCTCACCGTCTTGCTCTCCAGTCATATCTTAAAACACATCTTTTCTCTCTGGCTTTTAACATGTAGTAATATGTGCCTTTAAATTGTTTTAATCTGCTTTTGTTGTTGTATGGATTTTGAATCGTTTCTATTTGTTTACTGATTTTCTCCTTGTTATATATTATTGTATGTTGTGGTTTCAGAGCCCCATGGTTCATCATCAGACCACTGTTGAGGACTATCAGGCTCTTTGCGCAGTAGCAGTGGTGGAGTGATACCAACTGCACTGTCCTCTGGTTCTGGGCTGGGAGGCACTGCAGGATGAAACTGAGAATGTGGTGACATGGGTTCAAGAAACAGCCTTGGGAGAGTGAAGCCGCTGAGGTTATAATCCTCATATCACGCATGGAGGGCTGTCTTCTTCCTGACATGCACGACCGGCTCATCTTCTTCATGCTGTGACATCTTTTCCATAGTAAATCTGGGGGGATCCGGCTCGAAGGACCATGTAAAAACGAATGGCTACTGGTAGCTCTTCTTCCTGGTTGTTAATTTGCCGGTTGATAACAAACCCACTACGGAGCGTCCGGTTAGAGACTTTACCACAGATGATCAGGTATGCGGGAATAACCCATTTATTGTCACCACAAACTCAGTACACTGAAGACATTTTGGTTTTCATGTTTGTGTGGTTTTCTACTAATTAAAGATAAAAGAAAAATATATAAGTACAAATAACAAATAAGAGTGGTCACAATAAATATAATAACACAATATTTGCACAAAGAATATATTAAATACAGTGATTAAACATTCAAATAAGAAAACAAATGTGCCATTATATGGGAAGATGCGCTGCTAGAAATTATTAATAATGAGCAGTTGAAATCTGACACCTCTCAGTGCTGAGGACAGAGATGGAGCCGCTCTGTCTAGAACATTAGTGCGCATGCGCCAAAAGAGTGCTTTAACTCTCAGAAATGAGCGATACATATTAAATATATATATTAAATAAACCATATGATGATTAAATGGCAGATAGATTATGTCTTCTAAACATAACGGTAATATATGTGAGGAAACTAGTATGTAAACACGAACATCTTCCACGCTAGTTCGTCTTTGTCACTCGCATACATTAACTTATAAACACTCGGAGCAGTTAAATGTTCACAAACAATGCAGAAAGCAATGGATGAACAGACTGTTACTTACTTTATAGGCCACGCTAGTTCGTCTTTGTCACTCACATACATTAACTTATAAACGCTCAGAGCAGTTAAACGTTCACAAACAATGCAGAAAGCAATGGATGAACAAACTGTTACTTACTTTATAGGCACGCACACAACTTTAGCAAAGATAAATCGCTACAATACTGCTAGCATCCGCCCGCTTTCCCGATCGTTCTAACTCAGTTCAGTGGGCGGGACCGCTGACCTGCGCATCCTACCCGGAGCGCTGATTGGCTCGCGGGATGGATGCTGCGACTGAGTCGAATGTAGTGTATTGCAAGGGAAACTAAGACACATGAATATAACCTGTGTGTGGCCTTTTTTACACATACTTTCCTATACTAAGTAACTCAACAGATTGACGCACCAAAATAAAAAGATCAAGTAACGCAAGAGCGCAGTGCAAACGACGTTGTTGAACTGTATTGTAATTAAGCATCTGCTGCCAGCGCCTAACAAGATGTCCTTCGACGAAATTAGTAAAATGACTGAAGAAAAAGCTTCGACATTCACATTAACCATGGGAGACGTGGAAAAGATTTTACTACCGGGCCAAATACTCACGTCCTCAATTTCTACAAAGGAAACGATAGAGCAAATGGAACAAAGGTTGTTGGCACTTCAACAAAAAGGTATTCGAATGGAGCTACATGCCCGAACATTGAGTGAGTATTACAGAAATGGTCGGATACCACCGGGATTGCGAATCCAAAAAGAACCGACGATTGGATGAGATGATTCTGAATTCTGCAAAAAATGGTGTGAGATTCTCAACCATTGTTCGATTAATCTAATGCTTTTGATCATTGAGTTCACTGAAAGAAACGAAGTCATTATCTGAAAAAATTGAAAATTATAAGACTGAAATTAATCACAAATTTGATAAGAAACAACTGGATGATCTTCAGAGACAAATGGAAGAAAAACTTGATAAATTCAGAATGGAGTTACTCAATGTCAAGATTAACAAGTTCAAAAGAGACACCATGGACTATAAAGACCACAAAGTCTACACCTGGATGTCGGAGAGATCCAAACCTCAACAACAGCGAGGGGGACTAAGATTTACGAGTGCTTCAGAATCAGATGATTCCAACACGTCGTCTTCTCAAAATCCATCACGACAGAGAAAACCTTTTTTGGGCCAGCCCCGTCGTTCCAAATTCAATCAAAATGGAAGAAACCAACGAGAAGAGGGCGTCAGGGAAAAGGACTTCGAGAGGTAACTTCATCCGAATGTACTGTTTCAAATGAACAAGACAATATTGTATTTAATTTATCGGACAAAGAATTATCCATTGAACAAACTACAGTATTAAGTAAAGGGTTATCATTTGTACCATACAATGTCTCAAATCCCTTTATGGTCAAAGTTGAATTGTTTAAGTTTTTTTAGAAATGTGAAATTGAGAAGTTTTTTTAATTCGAATGTGAATGTAACTCCATATGTACAACAATTTAAACCGAAAAGTACTTTCACACCAGTAGTTCATAATCATTCAGTGAATACTTTCTGTAGACTTGTAGAAAATGATGTGGAAAAATTATTACAAGAACCTAGTGATGAATTGTACAAGAAAAGGAATTTAACAAGAGTGCAAAGAGAAGCTTTATCAGCATTAATAAATGATCCGACATTGACTACTCAACAAGCAGATAAAGGTGGAGGGATTGTGGTTATGAATACTAATACATACGTTGAGAAAATAAAAGGGATGTTACATGATGAGACATTTTATAAGAAACTTGTATTTAACCCGACTGAGTCCTATAAAAAAAAATAAAAAATTGACCAAGTTTTACAAATAGGATTAGATAGGAAACGGATTAATGAACAATAATTACAATATTAAAAAAATTAATATCCTAGGATTCCGGTGTTATACACTTTACCTAAAATTCATAAATCGTTAGAAGATCCTCCAATGCGACCAATTGTCTCAGGGAATGGGTCATTGACAGAAACCTTATCTAAGTTTATTGATTCTTTGATTCAACCGATAGTGAAAAAACTGTCATCCTATTTAAAAGACACCACTGATTTTTTTAATACATTGAATCAAATTCCTTGTATAAGTATGACGGATTGGCTTGTAACACTTGATGTCACTTCACTTTACACTAATATACCTCATGAAGTAGGCTTGGATGCACTAAAATTTTACTGTAAAGATGATGACAGCAGAGTACCATCACAATATATAGTGGACCTTACAACATTAGTTTTAAACAAGACCTATTTTTTATTTTAGAGCGATTTCTATTTGCAAGTACAAGGTACAGCAATGGGCACTCCAATAGCACCAAATTATGAAAATGTATTTATGGGTAAATTTGAACAAGATCATGTCTATAATAACAATCCATTTCAGCCAAATATTAAGGTTTGGATGCGATATATAGATGACTGTTTTATGATTTGGTCAGGTTCTGAACAGGAATTAGAATTATTTGTGTCTTTAGATTGTTCTCGTGAGTGCGGATCATAATTTCCTATACTAAGTAAAACCTGTACATGAATAAAAAACCTATGAAATCTGCCAAAATTAAACAGGTAAAAGCAGTTTAAAACAGTTTTGGAAGAAGAATAAAGTCACTGCTTGAAATGTCATGTCAACTAGCCACATGTCAAACCCTATCTCATGCAAAAATATGGAGGAAGTGTGTGTGTTGGCATGATTCCAGGCTGTGTACTCATCCACTCGAGCTCTCTTCTCTGGTAGTTTGGGGTACCAGTGATCAGGGACATATGGTGGTCCAGTAGTGCACAACACAGCGCACTTAAAAAAGCAAACATAAGCTCACAACACAACACAATTCAAAAAGCAAACATAAGCTCACAACACAACGACATTAAGCCACAACACAACCACCATTAAGCTCACAACACAACGACATTAAGCTCACAACACAACGACATTAAGCCACAACACAACAACATTAAGCCACAACACAGCGACATTAAGCCACAACACAACCACATTAAGCTCACAACACAACCACATTAAGCTCACAACACAACGACATTAAGCTCACAACACAACGACATTAAGCTCACAACACAACGACATTAAGCTCACAACACAACGACATTAAGCTCACAACACAACGACATTAAGCTCACAACACAACGACATTAAGCTCACAACACAACGACATTAAGCTCACAACACAACGACATTAAGCTCACAACACAACGACATTAAGCTCACAACACAACGACATTAAGCTCACAACACAACGACATTAAGCTCACAACACAACGACATTAAGCTCACAACACAACGACATTAAGCTCACAACACAACGACATTAAGCTCACAACACAACGACATTAAGCTCACAACACAACGACATTAAGCTCACAACACAACGACATTAAGCTCACAACACAACGACATTAAGCTCACAACACAACGACATTAAGCTCACAACACAACGACATTAAGCTCACAACACAACGACATTAAGCTCACAACACAACGACATTAAGCTCACAACACAACGACATTAAGCTCACAACACAACGACATTAAGCTCACAACACAACGACATTAAGCCACAACACAACGGAAATGCTCCCGACCACTAGGGGGCAGTTGGTCTACAGAAACGGGAAATGGACTCTATACATGGCACGCAGCCTAAGTATTTCCGGTGAAATCTCAGGGGGCATAAAAGGTTCATGAATCGATACATTAAAATTACCAGGATATCAAAACATTCAGTAAAAACACGTTGTTCATTTACAAATCGATTACACACATTAAGATCAATCGCTTACATTGAGAATTTCTTGTGGCGTCTCGAGGAAATATCGGTGTTTAACTGTCAACACTGCCCCCTAGTGGTCGGGAGCATTTCCGTTGTGTTGTGGCTTAATGTCGTTGTGATGTGGCTTAATGTCGTTGTGTTGTGAGCTTAATGTCCTTGTGTTGTGAGCTTATGTTTCCTTTTTTAATTGCGTTGTGTTGTGCACTACTGGGCAACCGTAGGGACATTATAGGCTGTCGCCAGATACTTCAATATGGCGTCACTGTGACACAAAGTCAGAGCTTAGAAGAATATCACACCCCAAAATAAGGTTTGATCTGTTTTTGTAGCTACATGCTCGCTTCTTACCTCTCAGTGAGAACAAATCCATTGTCCTCCAACACGGGCAGTTTTTGCATGGGGTTGAGTTTGGTGAACTCGGGTGTTTTGTGCTGCCCTAGAGATTCAAGTTCAAGAGCATTAAAAAAAAGATAAATTTTCAACAAATAAAATTAAGTTTGAATTCATAAAGAGTTCTGACAATAAATATTAACACATTATATTCAGCATAACGTTTATAGAGGTTTGGATTCAAATCATCAAGACTTTACAAATGCATTCAAAACAGCTCTCACAGTCTCCACTGAACAACACACTCACAACAATGTTGCTCACCTTTTCGTATGGCAATGTTTTCCACCGTATGTGGTATTTTGTTGTGTTTAAGGAATATTAGTACAGCCCTGCAGGCCTGAGACACAAGATCTAAGTACGCTTTCACAGCCTGTCTGCCAGCCATAGTCAACTGAAGTGTGAGTCCTTCTGTAGAAACAAGAAGTATTCCTGCTTGGGACCCCTCAATCGATTCGCACCTTTAATAGGGGACGGGCCGGGGGGAAGTGAGTGTGTGGTTGTGATATGACTTTGGTTTGATACAGGACCAGGCGTCCTATTTGGTACATGCTAAATTTGACTGAATTACAGGATGACCTAGATCATGGAGTACCTGGAAGAAACCCATGAGAACGTCATGGAGAACAAACAAACAAACTCACAGAAAAGCCTCCTGGCTCAAGATACAGTGACTCACTGATCCACCGTGCAGACAGATCTGATGACAGTAACATCGACATGGAAAAATTTGTGTATGTATGTGTGAAATTATTTAAGTTGTGGGGGAGAATTAGGGTTTGATAAAGGACCACAGTGTCCCATGCATGCCTAAAATTCCAACAAGTTACAAGATGTCCCAATTAGTACAGGACAGTTGGCATGCATGCCATGTGTGTGAGAGAGAGAAATGAATGTGAGGCTATGGGCCAGATTTACTATCAACTTGCCAGTGCAAACCCTCTTTTGGCATTAAAAAATTACTGTCAGGATTTACTCACGCGCTGTGAAAAATTAGCACTGAAAAGGTTTAGACAGTCATTTTTGCAGCTGACCTTATTGTATATACATTTGAAGGATTTTCACTTTCATACGCAAAATTTATGAGAGGAGTCTACTCAATACCCTACAGAACCTGTGCCAGTTCCACACTTAAATGTAACAAGACCTTCTGCATCTAAAGTTGTCAAGTAACAGGGCAGGAGCATTATCACAACTTTAGCTAACATTCTGGCAAGGTGCTGTACTAATATTCTGCAGGGCTGTACTAATATTCCTCAAAGACATCAAAATACCACATAAGGTGGAAAACATTGCCATACGAAAAGGTGAGCAACTTTGTTGTGAGTGTGTTGTTCAGTGGAGACTGTGAGAGCTGTTTTGAATGCATTTGTAAAGTCCAGATGATTTGAATCCAAACCTGTATAAAACTTATAGTGAATATAGTCTGTTTATATCAATTGTTAGAATTCTTTATGAATTCTAATTTAATTTGTTGAAAATTAATATTTTTTAATGCTCTTGAACTAGAATCTCTAGGGCAGCAGAAAACAGATGTACAATCTTTATGAATGTAGTAAGGAGAGAGTAGCTAGAAAAAAACAGATCAAACATTATTTTGGGGTGTGATATTCTTCTAATCTTTGGTAGTATCTTTGACAGCCTATAATGTCCCTGATCACTGGTACCCCAAACTGCCAGAGAAGAGAACTCGAGTGGATGAGTGCATGGCCTGGAATCACGCCAACACACACACACACACACTTCCTCCGTCTTCTTGCATGAGGTAGGGTTTGACATGTGGATAGTTGACATGACTTTTTAAGCAGTGACTTTATTCTTCTTCCAAAACTGTTTTAAACTGCTTACATAGCAAACGATCTTGGCCCGAATGTGGCCTCAAGCTGGCACTGCTGGCCTCCTGTCGGCAATGGCATGTAACCTTTCAGCCAGAGCTGGGCCGTGTGTGGCAATGATGGCAGTGACACAGTGTGGATCAAGGCAAACAATACGAGGGCCAACTGTTGGTGGGAGGAGTGTGGCCCAGATCAATCCAGTGATCACGTGGCCCAAATCAGGCTTGTGACCTGACAACATATTATGTGACATAATTTTTATTAATATGCTGTCATGCACAAGCATTCAATAAAATGATCATAGAAGTATTTTAATTTTATCCAAATCTTCGGTATCCATGTGATGCTTTGTGTGAGGAACAGATCCAAATTCAAATTCAGCTATATTTAGCTCCTTCCTCTGTAGATATACAACAAGTTTTATAGCAGTGATATCAAACGCTCATTGGCTCTCGGCGGTTTCGTCATAGATTGTGACATGCCAAGTTTCTGGTGTTGTGCCGAAATTGGTGATCTACCCAGCGTCCCAATGTTCGTACTATCTATCCTAAATAGTATGTGAGATTAGAATTAGTGTGTCCCAAAGCATAGTATGATGTAAAGAGTAGGTATGCCAAAAGTCCCCGGATGGTCTACTATTTCAGGTCGATTTTTGAAGTGTGGATCCGTGCACACTCTAATGGCTAATATTACCCACAATCCATTGCGCTTTGACGAATGATTCGGTTGAGAACTACAAACACGAATAAAAAGCATTAAAACCTACAAACATGGTGGATGCGCGCGACCGACAGTTAAGTTAGAGAAAAAATCATATTTATTTAATGTTACCTGTGTTATATTTCATCTGCAACAGCAATGTAAACTTTTATAAACATCCATTTGTTCGTTAACTTTTAAATGCATCATGCAGAAAATATGAGCAGAGTTCTCTGCATGAA